TCTGGAGGACTTTAATTCTAAAAATCAATAAACAAGGGCTCCTGGTAAACTGGTCATAGAAATAGTTAATGTGTCCTTAATTCACAAACATGTTTTCTTGACTTTTTTTTTTTTTTAACCTGCCACTTGTGGTCCATAGTGATGTGTCTCAACCTACAGGTTTACTATTTTGGTCTTTAAATTTGGGAAAGTTGATTTTGTGCCTGATGAACCACTTTTGCAGTGATTTGGCCATTTGTTGCTCTGCTGATAGACAGTATGACATTATAATTTTTAGTTTTCTTCTTCAGGCCACCAGATTTCTATTTAAAGGGTCTTGGTGTATCAAATGATGAACTATACTCTTATGAGGACTCCAAGGCAGAGCCATAGCATCACTGTTCTTTTACCATAGTCATCCTTTATCTAACATCAATTCCAATATTCAATATTGGTTTTGTCTGTCCAAAACTGATTATTTCTGGTAGTCACACAAAGGTTTAACAAAAATGACATACTTTTGGAAAAGTAGAAGGTATTAGTTATCTTAATATCAAACTGAAATGTATATAGCATCAAATTGTTGCTATGGAGACTTGGTATCCTAATTCTTCGCATGGTGACATTAATAAACTAAGGCCATCTTCCAGGCTTATCCATCACATTTCCCAATCAATTTCGAAAACTCTTAAAGTGTTTCCATGGCTGCAGATGCTATGACCTTGGTGTGTGGCTGTGATTTTGTGCTTAAATGGTTACAAAATCATCAGTCATGTTCAGCCGTTCCTGACAGACTCAAGCCATCAGCATCTTTGAGTGTTACTCAGTCCAGTTGGTGAATGTTGTCATGATTACTTTTGCTCCATGATTTGTTCCTTTTATCTCCGAAGATGAACTTCATGTAGTTTTAGAGAACTTTTCGAGTTAACACCAAAATCAAAATCACACCTACGAATTTGTTAGAAGTGATTTATATAGATGTTTTCCCTCTAAAATGTAAATGTATCTAAATTTAAGGTTAAAAGCTTGTCATGTACAATATTGTCTGAGGCCCTGCAATGGACTGGTGACCAGGTGTCCAGGGTGTACCCCACCTCTCGTCTGTTGAACGGTGGAGATAGGCACCATCACCCTTCCAACCTCACTAGGGACAAGGGCAGATGATGGATGGATGGATGGATGGATGGATGGATGGATGGATGGATGGATGGATGGATGGATGGATGGATGGATGGATGGATGGATGGATCTTGTGTGAGCTTCTGCCACTGCATTAAGCTACACTTAGTTTTAGATTTTATTAATTTTTTTTTACTATTGGTTGGTTGTGAGCTCAAGGCTAACCACTGTCTAAGCTAGAAAAGAAAACAAAAAAATTAAATGCTTCATCTGCAAAATATGGTCAAATATGTTTTCATGTCATTGTGACATTCAGTTTTTTTTTTTTTCTGAAATTAGTATAATGTTCGAAGGATAAATATTTTTCATATTGACAAAGAACTATAAAGTCAAAATCAGCTGGTTTGTCAGTTTACTAAAAACATAAATTTTACTGTGAAATCTTTTCCCTCACATATTTGCTGTGCAAGGCCACCAGCCACACAAAAACATGTATTCCAGACTGAACACCATCCATCTCATTCTACTGACCCACAACTTGAGTAGGTTGTGTTCCAGCCCTTCAGTGAAAACCGTATCATTATGTTCAGACAGTTTCGTACTTGAAATATTCCTCCTGAGCGGAGCGGACCTCCGTGTCCTTTCCCATTCTATGGCAAGTCAGACGTGGAGACAGTGGAGGAAATGTTCCGTTCCTTTTTGTGACAGGCAGAATAATTGGCTCCAGTCACAGTCTGTCCACTGGAAATGCATCTGCTTTTCATACACTCTTCAGACACACTAGCAGAAGAGCAAGCACAGGTATGAAGAGGCAGAGCCCTGTGTGGAAGACAATGTGCCTAAATGTATTTCAGTGATATTAGGCCTGAAGGCTTTGTTACACATCAAAACATTGGTAGATGTTTTGGTAGACTAGACAACATCAGGTAGTCTAGTCTGTGAGCAAATTTGCTTGCTGAAGGACATTTTGTGAATAAAATAAATTGTGAGAAGATGTGAAAACATGACTATGAAGTCCAGATATTGCATTTTTACAGTAATCAGTGTTTGTCCATGTACTGAAGCACAAATCTAATTCTTCTCTTGTGTTGGAACAATCCCTCAATGTTTAATCACTTAATGAAAGTTTTGGATTTAAAGGACTGTTATCAGAGGAACCAGCACAGTCTTGTTTTGTCTAAATCTTTAAAAAAAAACTTCCATGCAGATACTTTTTTTCTAAATAGGATCCCAACAAAATTCTTTCTAGAGCTCCACCACAGTTATGTCTCTCTGGAAGAAAAATTATGAATCTGCTTAACAGTTTCTCCCAGGTCTGAACAATGAACAATATGAACAATAAAAAAAAGTAATATTGCACAATCCCAAATGTTTAAATTGATAATGGAATAAGTGTTTCCTTAGTATGACACTTTCTTGTAGTGTAGTTAAGTTTCACTTTCGGTTTACTCTGTTTTCTACAGGATCTGCTGCTCTAGTATGACACCTGGTGGTTTTTTAAAGTCACAACATATATTTAAAAAAGCAATCCAGCCAAAACAGAAAGACCTATCCACCTCCACCTCGTGCCCAGTTCCACAATAAACAAACTACAGCATGGATGGATGGAAAGATATATATTCTTCATTTTAAAAGTAATTGCACTTGGGTCTTCATCTTTCCAACCTGGAACAAGAACGATTCAATAAATCATTAAAGTACACAATTATAAAGACGGGCATACCCATGATGAATGGCTATAAACACATTCATGGCCTTGTCCTGAATTACAGATAGATTCATTTCTAGGTAGGATATTTTTACAAACTAATGCATGCCTGATTTGTTTTATGAAAGGTTTTAAATTAAATTCTCTGACAATGACAGGATCATCTGCATACTTTATGATAGCTCTTTAAAATAATCTTCTTCTCTTTAAATAGATTCTTTGGGCACGCTTCCATCCCTTTTCACTTCAATCATCTCAGTGATTGAACGTGTTAAAACACTTTTTTTTTTTTCAAAATGTTAATGTCATAATCATTTCTTCTACCCACACAGAAGCTGGCAGAGCTTTTAGGCAGCAGTGATTTACTCATCAGTGAACATAGCTTCTCAGCACAGGCCATTTCCCAGAGTCTCCAGGGATGTCATATCGCTCAGCTTGTCGCTCCCGCTCCCAGATTGATGTGTGGGGGACAACTTTGAATACACTGAGAGACCACTTCACATCTTATTGCCTCTTAGAGACATTTCCCTGATGATAGCAGTACGAGAATCCTGTTAATGTTATGCTGCTCCATCATCTGCCACTTTTAAAGTCAATCAGTCAGTGGACAATCTGCATTTCCTTACTCTCAAGGGGAGGCACCAGGTTATTACATTCCTGCCCACTGCCACCATCAAAAATACTCTTTAAAAAGTGTTTACTGGGTTAAGAAACATTTCAGGAAAAGATAAGATATCCAAATGCCTTTTGCTCTTTCATTCGTTCTTTTATGGTGTGACCTCTTACATTGTTTTCCTACATTAAGCTATCAGCTCAGCAAGATGAGGCAGTGTGAATACAAGGGCAAATATCACGTTTGGAAAATGACAGCAAAATTACACTAGTATTCAGAAGCTCGGTTTTAAAATTGCTGCCTTCTAAAATAAATTCAAGGAAACAATCTGCCATAACAGCCAAGCTTTTGCAACAATTTGTTGCCATTTGTTCAGGGAGGGTGTTCAGGGTATTGGATGTGGCTGAGATCAGGGAACTGTTTCAAACCAAAAGCACAAAAATCATAGTGTTTGTTATGAACGTTACTATGTGCAGATTGTCATAGTTGGACAATATGGTTAATATCAAGGGCTTCTTTGTTTCATGAGAAACATCGACTGGCAAAAACAACTGGTGTGTGTCAGGTGAAGCTCACCGTTGACTTGTCTTAGACAAAAATGTGTTTGACTCCATCTGTGATAAATTATGGTGCATTTTCACTTGTTAGGGGGTATAATGATAAATTTAAATGTTGTAGGGAAGATGTTCTCCTCTGACAACATGTAACAGAGAAGAAGCTGCTTGACCAACACACCTAACTGGCAATGATCTGAACAACTTACTGAAACAGTTTCCTCACACTAACACCATTTACACATAATAAATAGGATAGTGATAGAATAGGGCTCCTATCTGGGAAGACGAGCACCCACTTAAACTTCAGACCTCAAAATGATTCTATTGCTGTGTTGACACTTCAAGAGCTGTACAGGAACTAACAACTTCAATAAACTGGAGTAGTGATTTAAGAGTGATACATAAACCCCTCCAGATTATCTATTTTATACAATTTAGAATTCCTGAGAATGCCAAAAATATTACACAATCTTTAAAGAGATGTGCTGCTGCCCTTCTTTTCAAATTTATTAGTGAGCTTTTGTCTCCACCTTGTGATGCACAAGAGGATTGCATTATGGTTTAGTCCAGAATGAATGCTGTTCCGTTCAGTATACTGCGGGTAGAAATAGAAAGTAATTCACCAAACGTGTTTAATTAAGTTCACATTCTTGTAGACTTTAAAGGAGTAAAAAAATTTATCAAGACTTGTAATATTAACTATGGCATAATGAGGCAAAACTTGACCAAACTCTATCTATCTATCTATCTATCTATCTATCTATCTATCTATCTATCTATCTATCTATCTATCTATCTATCTATCTATCTATCTTATTGAAACTTGAATAACTTAACTGTGAAACTTAGTACCGTAAATATTTAATTTCCTATGTGTGCTGCTGCGTAATTAAAAGGCCATCTGATCTAACTGTTTCTAACGCCATATTCAACGCCTTTTCATAGTAGAAAACGGTTGAAAACTGATGTTTGCTACATCAAATAAGAATATAGATTTTGTAAATTAAGCCCGCCTTCAGGAAAAAGTTGGCCAATCACCGTCCAGGGCAAGAACTTCCGCCACACGGACGGAGCATGTTCCATTGTACCGAGCAGTTCTAAAAGAGTGTCGCAGTTTTGGAGGTGTCAACTGTTAGAATTCCGTTAAAGTTGCTTTGATTGTGGTGACCAGTTGTCGCTACTTAGAGAAGAAATCAGATGAGGTCGTTGACGACAGAGTAACGGGCGACTGCAGGGACAGAGTGCGGTGGTTCTCACCGAAGGAATTCCATCCAGCCTCAGCGGCGGCTCTTCCATCTTCTTCCGCCGGTTAGCACCGTAGCTAAACAGCCCTAGCCGCGGTTTGTTTTAACTCCCGTGAATCCGATGAGTGGAATGTTTTTAACCCGGATGCATCTCAGTTCGAGTCGGTCAGAAACACAGACGACGAAGGCTGTTAGCTGCGGGATTAGCCGCTAAGCCGAGTTAGCTACTTGGCTAGCCAACTGTCTGGTCGCCTTGTATAAAAACAAACAAACAAACAAACAAAAACAAAAAAAACCAACACGACGTGTAGTCGGATACAAACGTTGTTCTGGTGAATATTTATTACTTGGACTTGAATTTCACCGCAACCGTGCAGAATGAATGGGTTCAGCACAGAAGAGGACAGCCACGACGGCCCGCCGGCTCCACCGTTTTACGGCCAGAGCTGCTGTCTGATCGAGGACGGGGAGCGCTGCGGCCGCTCGGCTGGAAACGCCTCCTTCAGCAAGAGAATTCAGAAGAGCATATCGCAGAAGAAGCTGAAGCTGGACATCGACAAGAGTGTAAGATCACTTTTTTTTTTCTGAATGTTTACTGAAATTTCCGTTAAAAAGAAGTTTGGGACTCGAAGACCTCAGCTGTTGTCGATGTGCTGCTGTTGTTTACGGAGTCCCGCATGTTGACTGCGACTTTAACCGTCAGGCGTTATGTAGGACAGCACTGTCGGCCCGCATCATCATCCAGCGGTGTCACTTTTTTCTAACACACCCCCTATGCTCTGTTTGTGGCTTAATCTTTATTTTATTTTTTTGTGTGTGTGGTTAGTAAGCTTTTCTAAAGATGCAGGGCTAAATTTTGTCGTTTTTCGCCGACGAAAATACATCGGTAAAAACAACTGATCAACCATAGGGGAATTTGTTAAAGAATATTCTTAGTGATACTGAACAACTAATGAATCAAGTTAGATCACAACTGGCAAAGACAGTTGCAATATCGGGTAAAACAATAGCTCTTATCATGTTCAAAGCAGGAAACTGTTTACTTCTAAGAAATGTTCAACAAGTTTATGATAGAATAAAAACACCATGTTGGTACTACAAAACAAACATGAATAACTTTGCAAACTAACTTTTTAACCCTACACTAGGCACAACATGGGATGGGATTCTTAGAAAATCCTAACTTTCAACTAAAACGCCTTACTTTCACAGTCTCACTGTATTTCCTCAAACACTAGTGTAACATTGTTGCTTTTACTTATTGATCAGGAAGAGCCATTTCTTCACGCTAGAATGATTCAATATAAGTATTTCATCTGGATTTTAAACATCAGCTTTGACATATATAAAAATGTTTATTGATCAAACTATACCTTTTTCTTGTCTTATTAATAGAGTAATATTAAGTCGATCAATTAGGTGGTTTATTTGCTAACATATTTTCCTGCTGTCAGCTATACAACAGGTGTCGACCCATTGTGTTAAAACAGTGTTAGCCTAATATTAGAGTAATATTTTTTGTGAATAAAAATATTTCCAAACAGCTGAAAAAGTTACTCTTTCTTGGAACTTCAGTGTTCTCAAAATCACAGCTTTTTAAAATATTTGCTATAGCAAGATACCATAATCATGGCAGAAATATGCTTTCATTTCCAATGGTTGACCTGAAGTTGTTTTCCTACCTTCCAGGTGCGGCATCTCTACATCTGTGATTTTCACAAGAACTTCATCCAGAGCGTCCGCAACAAGAGAAAGAGGAAGACGAGTGATGATGGAGGGGAATCCCCTGACCATGATGTGGAAGTGCCTGAGGTAAGCTGGGTTAAAGTGGACTGCTGGAACTAGTAAATATTCTCACACCAGCTGACATGTGGAAATGTTACTTCAAAAGTAAATTAGATAATATTGTAAAATTTTATTCAATGCATATCTGTGGGGCACCAGGTAGTTACCATTATGCATATGATCTTAAATAATGGAAACATTCAGATGCTCTGAATAACAGTTTTATTATTCAGTGCTTTAAAAATAAACTCGTTTCAGAGAGAAACTGCAGAATTTAAGTCCACAAAACACAAGGAAAACCTGCTCCATAAATTGCAATAACAAAATATTTTTCAGTCAAAGGAGATTATAATATATACTCACATACAATGTAAATAAAGCAAGTCTTTTATTTCTAGAATGTTCCTTGAAAATTCAGTCCAAAGTCAGCGTGTGTGATGCTCAGGGAAACTCCAAAAAAACCCAAAAAAAACAAAGAGCTCCAGCCCAGGAACTACACGTCTCAGCATGTAAAAGTTCAAAACGTGACAGGAAAAGGTTGAAGAAGAGTGACTTGTTTGGAAGGGTTGGAGGAGATCCAGCAAGATTTAGATTTGCAAAGTTTTATCTGACACATTTCTTTGGACAGACGAGACCAGCATAGAGATGTTCAGTAGCAATTCACATCATCATGTCAGGTGGCAACCAAACACCTCAAACCACAAGGTGGTGGGAGGGTGATGATTCGAGTTGGTTTCACAGCTGCACGACCAAAAAACCTGAAGTCATGGGGATGTTCTTCACACAGCTTTCCTACATGTTTTTATTGTAAAACCAGTTGTTCACTTCCTCAAAGTTGCCATTGGTCAAAGAACAGATCAGAAGGCCGTCTTCTGCCTCTTGACGTAAAACGTTGTCATCACTGTGTTCAGGTGGATCTGTTCCAGCTGCAGGTGAACACGCTGAGACGCTACAAGCGACACTACAAGCTGCAGACCAGACCCGGCCTCAACAAGGCCCAGCTGGCAGAGGTAAACACCCGCGCACACACACAGCGTTCTATCAATGGCAAGTTACACATCAGCTTCTGTGTTAGTTGCATACTCTTACAGATGGTCAGATCCTTCAGTTTGTCTTAAATGTGTCTTGTTGTGTTTTTGAGTTTTGTCATGCATGATAAAAGTTTTGTCTTGCTGTTGATTAAAAGAAAAAAAAAGAGCATGCTGTGCTCAAACTCAGTTGGAACTTCATTAACACCTCCAACTGCTTTATATCAATTTTCCGCTGGGTTCAAAACTTGCTGTCAGTTTCAGTTTGTTATTGTTAGAAAACAGGTTTTCATTTATTCTGGACAGGTGAGCCATTTGAAGTAATTTCCCACATAGTTCAACAGGGGGTGCTCTATATGTTTCTTTGTCTGTTAGTGATGTGGAAATTCACACTTTCCTAAAACTATTTCATAATACACCATAGACAATTTAAAAAAAGCAGTTTTATTTTCAGGTTGACGATATTTACGAGATGCGTATAAAATGTGTTTGAAATGGTTTTAGCCATCATTTTAGTCATGCCCAAACGAGGTTCTCACACAGTTGCTTTCAGTTTATGGGAAACAAAAAAAACAAAACATTTTTGAACATTTTTTTTTACCAAAACAGTCTAACAATCCTTTTGTAACTTGAGATATTTCATGAGGTTTTATTTCTTTGTAAATAGTTTACGACTGTTGTTGTCAAATGTGTTGTCACTACAGTGTTTGAGCATAGACATGGATCCATGCTAACAAACTCTTTTGGTTAATTAATAAACAATTGGGATATTGAGATGATTTTTAACTGGGACATAATAGAGAGAAATGGTTCATCAGCCTTTTACTAAATACTTCCCGATTTGAGCGCTGAAAATTGTTTACCCACAAACTATTTGCTGGGTCCAGAAGAAGTCTCCAAAGCTGCTTAGAGGTGTAATAATAAAGTCAAATAAGGTCTCTTCACTTTGCATCCTTAGCAGAAATTTAATAAGGCAAAGGAGAGGATTAAGTATTTACCGGTACAGATGTACATCTATCATTTATTGTGATAAATCTCTAACCATGATAAGAATTTTTACTTATCTTTTTCATGATAAATATGCTATTGATGTTAAAAAAAAGCAAAAATAACTGACAGTTTGATCACAAATGTTCTTCTCACTATTGTCTCCAGTTTTGTTTCCATTAGCGTACCAATAAAAAATGAATACATTTTAAAATATGATTAAGTGGAGTTACTGTGCAGATAGTGGTATAAATCACTTTTTTAAAGGGACAGTATCATGTATTTTCCTGGCATATAGTCTCACTTTATACCACAGTCAAATAACTGACTGTCAGTTACCACCATCAGTTGTAATAAAAGTGATGTATATGCCATATGTATAAATATGACTTAAAAAAATTTTACTTTACAATTTAACTCCTTGAAATTGGACCTCTGTCTCTTGGAAAACTCCTCCTCTTTCTGCCTATAACAACAGCATAACAACGCCTCTGTTAATCATTTAACAATGTTTTTACCAGTGTTGCAGTAAGAAGTAGCTGATATAATGAGCTCAGTAGATTTGCAGTTCCGCCAGGTGTTTGCTAGTTGCTGCTGGCTAGTCTGAAGGAACTGAGTTGGGGAGTTGAAGGGGAATACTGCTCTGAGAGGCAGAAGCTTGGAAACTGTTGCTCAGAGGAGGAGCTGCGCCTCAAAGGCGGGGCTAGGTCCACCCAGGCGTTTTGCTCAGCTGAATGGTTGCCACAGGAGTTTAGAGGATTTCTCAAACATGCATGAAAGAATCAAGGCAACATTCCAGGTATGTTTTTGATGAGGAAATAACATAACAACATGTAAAACTAAAAACAAGTTGATTTTACATAATATTGGCCCTTTAAGTAAATGGTGTCTCTAAGAAGCTAATTTCAGATCAGGTTGTTTTTCAAGACAATATTTGATGGTGACACCACGAATGCTGTGCTTTCCAGTCACTGTCCGGCTAAACAGTTTATTACCTAAAATACATTTTTTTAATCTTCATCTTGTAAGTTTGTATGGCCCACCCCGAGTTGAGATGATGTGATGTGACCCAGCTTGTTATATTTCTCCATTAAAAGCCAACTCCGGGTCCAGCAGTGGTTTAGCTTGGCAACTTCACCTCGAATGACCACCTTTTTATTCATTTTTAACTTTTTTTCTGTTTCTCCTCAGACCGTGAGTCGTCACTTCAGGAATATACCTGTGAACGAGAAGGAGACGCTCACCTACTTCATCTACATGGTGAAGAGCAGCAAGAGCCGCCTGGACCAGAAGGCTGACGGAGGCAAACCGCTGGACTAAGCTTCCCTCTGCCGTAACCCCAGCAACAGCTCCACACCAAACCTGGACACCACTATCAGCAGCAGCTCCGCCTCAGTCCCCTTCCCACTGTCGGACCAGAACCTTTGCCGTCCTCTCAGGACGTTAAACAGAACTGGAGGAGACGTGGAGGAAGGACGAGTTTGCTTTCTCGCCGTCACTGACCTCTCCATAAGGTCTGTGGAGAAGCAAGGCTCACTGCGGAGATTTACGTTGTAATACTTTAAAAAAAAAAAAAAAAAAAAAAAAAAAACAATACAGCATATGATTTGAAATAACTCAGCTGAATGACATGTACAATATTGCTGCCTTAAGAGTTTAAAAAAATGGAGAAACAAAAACACTTTGTTGGTTATTATTTTTAGCTGGTGAATAGACTGTTAACACATTCAGGAGGAGGAGGCTGGAGGGGAAGGGGTTGAAACAAATGAAATGTTTGAAAAAGGACACAGGCTCAGGTTCGCTTTCCAGCTCAAATCTAATCACATCATCGATAATAATGTGTAAAATGAAATTTAAAAACCTGAAACCAGTTCTGTTGGCCTGTTTTCAGGTGGAATGTGACTGGATGGTGAGGAACGGTGCAGCGCTTTGAGCCTTTTTTCCTCAGTAGAACGTTGTTTTGTGGGTACACACTGATTTATTTCTGTTCAATTTTCTTTTTAGTTCTGCTTTTATTCTACGTGTTGTTTAAAGATACCTGCATATTTAACAATGAACCAACACCTCCACTGGGGTAAAATCGGAAATCGAAGGCTTTTTATACTTCAGAACAGAAGAATAACAGGAAGACTTTTTCTCCCAGTTTGTAAGAATTGATTACTGGGAAATGTTTGTCTTGATGCCATTCCTCCATATCAGAATTACTGAAATTCTTAAAGTCTTCACATTTCATTTCCATCTGAAATAATAATGTGAAACAGGCAGTTTCCTTCTGATCTGGTTTGGTTTACAGAAAGGGAAAGCAGGCCGGCTGAAGCCTTCATATTCCTCAGAACCGTCGTCCTCCAGCTGTTCTTGTGGACTGAACTCACTTTACGATTTCCGATGCATTTTTCTTTGCTTTATTTTGTTTTCCAGTCTGTTGTACCTTTTTTTTTTTTTGCTTGTAGGTTTCTTAGTGTCATGTAGATAACATCCGTCTTTATTAACAAACAGGTCATTCCTCATTATACTGACTGTTGTATTAGAACGAAAACAGAAGAACACATATTTAAGTATGGCTGCGTACTGCTCTTAATATTATTAATAAATGTATTGTACAGGCAGAAGAGATTTTAGGTTTTTTTTCAGGATATTCTAAGGCTTTAGCAGGTGGTTGTTCCACTCCTGTGGTTTTAAAAACTCAACAACTGAGATACCAAACAAAGAAAATGGATGAACCTTCCTGCACCTATTACTGCACACTACCACGCTTTTAGAGTTTTATATAATTAAAAAAAATAATAGAATAAAACATGGCTTTGACAGTTTTCAAATAATTTTCAGTCATGAAAAACACTCTAAATTACCTTGAGTGTTTGAAAATTACAGTTGAGAGGCTACAACACCCACAGACTAAACTAATTACCCAGCTAGTGTTACCTTTCATACCAGTCCATGCCCTATTTAAGGCCAATGAACAACTCATTTCTTGTCTGCATACTTCACAGTTGCATATTTATGTTGTTTTTGTAAAACCTTAGTCATTTAGAAGCACTGCTCATCACAGTATCGGTCAAATTCAGGGTCCGCATCCTTCGAGTGTCGCATATCACATCACATCGATGTGACCGTCGGCTCTCCAGATTCGATGACGGCTTCACCGAATGCGGCCGACTTTAATTCATTCTTTTCACTGAATATGAGAGATGAGTCTGATGCATCCTTCTTAAACCATCATATCAAGTTTCATTGTGGGTCGAACAGGAGATTTTAGTTCTTATAACGATAGCGGAAGCAGAAGACGGAGAATAGTAATATATTAAATGGCGGTACAAAAATTACAAGTAATATTTTGAGTTCCAGTTTTACCAGTTTGTGTTTAGCAATGTCACGGCTGCTAGGCGATAGGACATTGAAAGAGGGAAGGGTAGGAAATAAAAATGTAAAGGCTAAGCCATCCAATTTCATAGTTGGTCACTTCTGGTTTTCTGGGTCAACGAAGGACCCGACCTACGTCAGCCAAGTAGATGCTGCCCTTGAATTTGGACTTCTTTTTCTTTCAGTTTTTCTCTTTAGGGGTCGCCACAGTTGTTTTTCCCCACAGTTCCTAAGTTTGGACACATCTTATATTTAACTTTATATTATTTGTAGATCAGTTGACCTGTATTACATGTGATTACAAGACATTTGATCAAACCAAAAAAAGGTCTGAATATTATAAACATTATTCCTTACATTCAACTTTGACTTGATTATTGAAAATGACTCATATGCTTTTAAAAAAATTATTTAAAGGTCTGTAGAGAAACTACAATGAATAAATTTAAAATCACATGAAGAGGTTTGTTTTTGTACTTGGAAAAACTACCAAGTTATGAAAATTTAAGTTTCAGATCCCATCAAAAGTTATCTTTCTGAAGTTTACAGTGAAACAGAAGTTTGAATTCAAACCCAACGCCTATCAGAGTCAGATCAATAGAGTTCAATTTATTCCAAAAGAAAAGTGCAGCTCCTAACAATGAGATTCACTTCAATGTAATTCCTTATCCTGAGAAAGCATGAGGGGACGAATGACAAAATGATTTCCTTTCATAGATATAAACTTTCAGAATCGTCTCGGTGACTGGCAGAAGCACCTGGCTTCAGAGGGTGGGAAGTAGATGAATATCTTTTTGCCTTTAGAGAAAACTATCTCGTATTGTATTCAAAATAAGGCAGCAGAGAGAGTTTCCCAGAGCTGGTAGGATACAGACTCTTCACAACCTCTTGAAAAAAGTAAAAAAAAAAAAAAAAAAAAGAGGAAAAAAATCTGGAAAGTTTCAGAGACATAAAACCACCATTTGGGGTCACTGTTGGTCCCTCAAATAAAATGATTTATTTTTAGCTTTTTAGGTGTTTGGAAACTTTCTCAGTAAGTACTTGGGTTTATTTTCTGTGAAATAAATATATAATAAACCAGAACATCCAAAACGCTTTAAAATACTTTAAATATTTTTCAGTTATTTTATAGTGCTTTCTGAGACAAACATCTGAGAGATATAAAAACCAAAAATAAATTGATCAAAGTGCAGAATAAATTGCCAGTGTGGTCGTTTTTTTTTTTTTTTTTTTTTTTTTTTTTTTTTTCGGGGGGGAGTTTAAAAAGGGGAAATTTAAAAAAAAAAAAAAAAAAGGATAAAAAAAAAAATTTTTTT